CCCTCCTGGAGCCGGAGCTGCGGCCCGAGGACCGTATCCTGGTGCTAGGTGGGTAGTCCCGGCCCGGGGCGCCTGCCCGACCGGCCCCGCGCTTTCCCCGGTCTGTTCGCTCTCCTCCGGGACGCCCGACCCAGGGTCCCGCGCCTTCAGCGTCCAGCCGAATTCGCTGGGGCAAACGGCAGGAGGACAGTCCTAGGAGCCGAGCGTGGGGGTGACCCGGACCCTGCTCCACGCCCGGGAGGTGGTCTCGGCCCCGCAGTACTCAGCACCGAGTCGGTCTCGGGGCTAATTGGCCGCGTAACTTAGGACAAGCCACGAATCGCGGTGAGCTTCCCACTCGTGGAGATGGGACTGCAGGCACCTCTGGCACAGCGCCCACCGCTTTTGTGTTCACGCCAGGAGCCACCTGGAGCCGCTGTCACCTACAGGGAGTTACCGCTCTCCCAGCCCTGGACTGAAACTTAGTCCTAAGGCGCGCGAAGTGAGAGTGAGAACAGCGCCCCCTGAGGTCGGAGGGGAGCTGCAGCCTAGGTTGGTGGGATTTCCCAAAGGACTGGAGGCGGGAGGGCTCCGAGTTCGGCTGCTCCCCTCAGGCTCTCTCCCGCTGCCTTGGAGGCGCTTAGTGAAGTGAGTGAGCGACGGGTTTCTTTCCAGTTACAGTTTTTATTTTGCTCTGTGTAAAGCCATATATATGTATATGTATGTATGTGTGCGTATATGTGTGTGCATATATATATGTATATATATGTATATATGATTGTGTTTGTGTGTGTGTGTGACAGGGTCCCGCCATGTAGTTCAGGCTGGCCTTGAACTCACCATGTAGCCTAGGCTGGCCTCGAGTTCGCGGTGATCCTCCTGCCTCAGGCTCCTGAGTGCTGGGATCAGAAGCGTGTGCCATCACTCCCAGCTCTAAAACCTTATATTTAAATGAAGTATTTGATACGCTGAATATATTCAGTTTGTGAAATAGAACATTACTAGAATTAGAACCTAGTGCTTAAGAACTTGAGCTCTGGAAGCAGCTAATTATGTTAGATTCTTGGCTCAGCTGATACTGGCTCTGTAATCTTGCCCATAATACTTAAGTTTCTGTCCCTCGTTTTTCTTGCCTTACAAAAAGTGAATACTAGCCAGGTGTGGTGGCATATGCCTGGATCATGAGTTCCAGGCCAAGCTGAGCAACTTAGCGAGACTCTACTTTAGAATAAAATAAAAGGGGCTGGGGATGTAGCTAAGTGGAAGAGTGCTTGTCTAGCCTGGAGTTCACTCTGCAGTGCCACAAAACAGACCAATTTAAATATCTGATTTTTAAGAAGACTAGATGAGCATGAATCTTCAGAATGATTGGCAAAATAAGCCTCTTGTATATTTAACACTTTTTCTGTATTTCCCTCAAGACTCTCTCAGAAGTAAACAGTGTCTTGAATTTTGTGATTGTAAATTATGCCACCCCCCCATATCGGGGATCTAACTTAGGACCTTGCACTTGCCAGGCAGAGGCGGCACCACTGAGCCACACCCCTGGCCCAACTATTGCATTTCTTTACAGATTTACCATGGGACTGTGTTTTTCAAGCTTCACTGTTCATCAGAATCACCTGTAGAGCTGCACCCCACCCCGAGATTCTAATTTCAGGGATCGTCTACGATGTGTTCCATTTTCTTTTATTTATGTATTTATTATTTTTTTTTTGGTACTGGGGATTGAACTCAGGACCTTGTGCTTGTGAGGCAGGTGCAGTGCCACTGAGCTACATCTCTAGCCCACCAGGAATCTGTTTTCAACAAGTGCCACAGCTGATTTTCATGCTGATAGTTGGCAAAATAACACTGCCTTAAAATCTGCTTTCCTGGGAGGAATCCTTTTCTAGATCAGAAGGGTAAAAAGTGTCAACCTCAAAAGGGAAAAAGGCTTTCCAGAAAAGATCTCCCAGATCTAAGAACAGTAACTACACCTTGGGAGCACCCTATGTTACATCCCCCCTCAACGAACGGAAGTGGATCACCCAGTAGGCACCAGCGAATGTGCTGGGCCCTTTCTAACTTACTCCTTGACAGTCCCTAAAGGTGAATGATAACTATTAAGAGGCTTATTCTAGGTTAGGGATCCGTAAACATTTTCTTTCCTTTTTTTCTGGTACTAGGGATTGAACAACCCAGGAGTACTTTACCACTGAGCTACACACCAAGCCCTTTTTAAATTTTGAGACAGCGTCTCGCTAAGTTGCCCAGGCTAGCCTCATACTTGGGGTCCTCCTGCCTCAGCCTCCTGAGTAGCCACCATGACAGGCTGTAAACTTCTCTGAACAGGGCCAGATAGTACATATTTAAGCTCTTTGGTCTCTGTCACAGCTACTCAGTTTTACTTCTGTATTGGATATATGTATCCAATATGTAAGTGAGTAAGTATAGCTATCCCAGTAAATCATTATTTACAAAAAGAAGTGGCAAGCCAGATGTGGTGGCACATGGCTGTAATCCCAAGTATTTAAGAGGCTAAGGCAAGAGGACAGGAAATTCAGGATCATTTTGGACAGCTAGACATGGTGATGCACACCTATAATTCCAGGTTTGGGAATGTAGCTCAGCACAAAAGCCTTGGGTTCAACCCCCAAGCAAGGTTTTGTCTTAAAAAAATTTTTTTGATGGCTTGGAATGTAGCTCAGTGAATTCAACCCCCAGTTCAGCAACAATAAATAAAAAAAATTTAAAGGATTGAGTGTGTAGCTCAGTGGTAGAGCACTTGCTTAGCATGCACCAGGCCATGGCAGTAGCAGCAAAGGTGGTGAGCTGGATTTAGCAGACTCCTGTGGGTCGTTGAGCTGGGTTCCCCAGAAGCAAATTCTGAGGTGAGAATTCATATCTAAGCCATTCGTTAGATAAAAGCTCCCAGGAGAAACTGGTGAGGAATGGGGGGAACTGGGATAGAAAAGAAGCCAGGCAAAGTTTCCCAGAGGGGGATTTCAAGCTGAAGAGTCACAGATGTAAACTTAGGCAAAAACACACTAAAACATAGGGACGTACAAAAATTGCTAACCAGATGCTGTGAGGATGTGGTCAGAGCACTGACGGTATCTGCTACCATCGTGCAGCAGTAGTGAAGTACGGGTGCCTCTGGATTCAAGGCGGTGTAATACGCAGGGCTGGGATCCCCATGCAGAGCTTTCAGTTCTTCTTTTTGCAACACTCTGGCTGTGTAGTTCAGGCTGGCCTCGAACTCACTGTGTAGCCCAAGCGACTTGAGTTCCTGAGTGCTGGGATTGCAGGCATACAACACCACAATTGGCTCCAGAGCTTCTAGTTCTGCCACTCTCCCTTGCAGATAGATGGAGAGTCACCCAGAACTCTGCTGAAATGAGTCCAGGGACTACATTGTGAGTTGCAGCCTGAGGGTCACATAGCCTATGGTGGAATGTCACCACCAAAGGTGACGGGACCTCTGGGGAACTGGGAGGCCATTGAGCTTAGTGGCTTAAGAGCTCTGGCTCTGGTTTAAATTGCGGCTCTAGGGCCGGGGATTTGGCTCAGTGGTTCTGCTGCCTGCCTTGAAAGCACAAGGACCCAAGTTCGATCCCTGGTACCAATAAATAAATAAATTGTGGCTCTACCTCTGAGTAACCCTAGGAACACTGTTTATTCACTTTCCTTAATTTCCCCATCTAGAGAAAGGGAATGGTAATAATAGTATCGTCTAGGGCCAGGGATTTAGCTCAGTGGTGCTGCCATCTGCCCTGAAAGAGCAAGGTCCTGAGTTTGATCCCCAGGAACAAAATAAATAAATAATAATAGTATCTTCTATACGGATCTGAGAGTAAACCGAGGTATTATGAAGCACTTAGGTTAGTACTGGTGTTCGTGGCTGTTAGCTGTCATCATCACCATGCTAAAGGTGGAACCCAGGGCCGTGTGCCTGCGAGGCAAGCATTCCATCCTGTGCTTGGCCTCCTTATTATTGAAATTGAGAGTCCCGGATGGTTGATCCAGGACCAGGACTGTCCAAAGCACAGTGTAGCATCTGAGAACTTGTGTGTCTGCTCCCCGTGACCAGAAGAGCCTCGTGGCAGGTGAATGGCTGTCCCATCTCTGCTATCAGGATACTACTCTGATTCTCTACCCTTGCTTATTCCATTCTCCGTAGGACTCTTCAGATCGTAATGTGGCTTCCAAGTTCCTATAGAGAGAGGAGAGGTTAACCAGAGTAGAGTTCACTTGTCCATTCCCATGATGGTTATTTTTCTTCTTATAAATCAATGATTGGCCTTCAGGCTTACAACAGTCTCATCATTCCAGGTCTGGCTCCCATGTAATGTTTTTGGATTTGGATCAGTTCTCCAGGGCTGTGCTTCCCAAGCCCAATTTTAGTTGTGGGCTCGAGGTCATTGAAGCAGAAATGAGAATTTACTGCTATGTAAGGATCACTGGCCCCGCAGTCAGGATTTCTTTCTCCCTTCAAGGTCTCTTAGAAGATGCCGCCCTGTACCAAGGGGAAGGAAGGAAGGAAATTTGGGTTTGTCTGCTTTTGAACAGAGTTCTGCAGACATAAAAGGTCAGGTACAAGGTAATAAAGGAACTGTGGGTCAGAGGGCTCAGTAGGATTTCAGCCTGGAGCTGAACTGGGGGTCTCCTCATCAGTCACCCTCACCCCCACCTCTTTGGGCTGTATCTGCCATCGCTGTTGGGGCCGCAGTGTGAGGAAGCATGCATTAGGTTTTTCCAGGTGAGACAATACTCTCCTTGAGCCCCAAAGCCTGCAGAAGGGACTGCTCAGGACTGGCCGACTGCCTCTGATGCCCTGTCTGTGTGCCAAGCCCTGCTAGATTAGGGCTATCGCAACAGCTGATCCTGTGATCCTCTTAGGCAAGTAAATGAGGATTAAAGGCGGTGTAATACGCAGGGCTGGGATCCCCATGCAGGGCTGCCAGGAGCTGTCATCCAGACCTGTTCTCAGCAGAGCGCGCCACGGGAGGGCCTGGAAGAGGCCCCTGGATCTTCTAAAGCAGTCGTGCCCACTGGGCTGTAGTCCACTCCCTTCATCCCTCTCCAACCTTACCCTGGCCTCCTGGAGACTGCATTCTAGATACTTTCCAGTGGAATGTTGATTTCCTCCCACGATGCTTGGTTAGGCTCCCGTAAAACTCATCTGCCCCACCCCGTGTGTGCTCCCACAGCATGCCCCTATTAAAACACTCCCTGCCTTACCCGGCCTTTGCCCGATTCCACATTTGCCCTGTTCACCAGAGCACAGGCTCCTTCCAGCAGGTGCTCTACTCCTCAGCAGCTCCTCAGTGCACACGAGGGTCAGCTCCAAGGTCTCCCCAACTAGTCTTCCCTTTGTTTATCCATTCTGCCTTGGAAATCAAAGCAGTCCCTAATGTGAAGCCTTCCCAAGGTTGATATCATCCCAGATCCTCCAAGTGGTTTGAGACGAGGCTAATGGTCCTAATGATACCATCATTATCCCCATCCTGAGTCCAAGAACACTGAAGTGCGCTGACTCGATGATTTCCCGTGGTTGTGTGACCAGAGATAGCAGCATCCAGGTATTTGAACTCCTGAGTTCTGAGTGCCTTCAGCTTCTCCCTAGGTGTTCTTAAATGTTAGTTCTTAAATGTACTGAATCACAGCTAGCTACTGGCTGTTATCTTCATTTTTTTCCCCTGAGTAGGAAATCCAATTTCTTGGTATTGAAACAACTTGCCCCAGTATTCACAGCTAGGAATGATGGAGCTAGGGTTTGTGCCGAGGGCTGTGTGATTTCTGCAACTTGCTGCCTCCCCCTCAGTACTGGAAGATTTGGACTGAGAAAAAATGGGGCCAAGGGTGGATGAGTAATCGGGAAGGTGAGAACCAAAACAACCCTTAATCTTTTGCCACCCTTCCTGTCCTGTGCCAGGTTGTGGGAACAGTGCCTTGAGCTACGAGCTGTTCCTTGGAGGCTTTCCCGACGTGACCAGTGTGGATTACTCATCAGTAGTGGTGGCCGCCATGGAGGCTCGCTATGCCCACGTCCCCAGGCTGCGCTGGGAGACCATGGATGTGCGGGCACTGGGCTTCCCTGATGGCTCCTTTGACGTGGTACTCGAGAAGGGTACCCTGGATGCCCTGCTGGCTGGGGAGCGGGACCCCTGGACCGTGTCTTCTGAAGGTGTCTACACCGTGGACCAGGTGCTGAGTGAGGTGAGGAAGGCACAAGAGAGGAGAGCAGACCAAGAGGTGGGGAGAGGGGGTGAAGTTTCAGGAGACCAGAAGAACTCAGGAGCCAGGTCTGTGTAGAGCACCCTTAGGTGTGTGGTTAGACTGGCTTGATCAGACGGGGCTGGAGTGGCCAGGCTCACAAAACCTGATGTTTGGCTATTGGGTTGCCCGAGGGATGAGGTAGCATCCAGGTTTCAGACAGGTGACAGAGTTGTGAGGAAATTAGAGCCTCTGGCACTCCCATGCACCTCTCTGACTACAATATAGCGCCAGCCCCTGATGGTCGGGGCAGAGGAGGGGCTGACTCGGCCATGGCAAGCCTGGGCTACTACATGTAGGACAGTACTGACCTTAGAGAACCTGAAGCTGTCTCATCACCGATGACTTCTCTGTCTGCCTTGCAGGTAAGCCGGGTGCTGGTCCCCGGGGGCCGGTTCGTCTCAATGACGTCAGCAGCCCCCCACTTTCGGACTAGACACTATGCCCAAGCCCGGTACGGCTGGTCCCTGAGGCATGCAACCTATGGCAGTGGCTTCCACTTCCACCTCTACCTCATGCACAAAGGCGGGGAGCTGAGTGAGGCTCAGCTGGCCCTGGGGACCCAGCTCCTCTCACCTGCAAGGCCTCCCCCACCTCCTGCCTTCCTCCAGGACTCAGATCAGGAGGACTTCCTCAGTGCCATTCAGCTGTGAGGGTGGAAGTGTGGTCCTCTGGCCCTTCCTGCCTTTCTGCCCTGTGCTCCTTAGGTAGTTGGAATTTCCGACTCGGGACTGAGGGTTGGTTCCAAGGTGCTCACATGCTGAGGCCTCATGCAGATCGAGCTGGTGGGAGTGATCCCACAAGAACCAATACAGCCTGTGCCCAGACCTGGGCTTCTGGCTTCTTTCTTGAATTCCCCAGATCCCTCCTGGTGCCCCACGTCCTCTTACCCCACTCCAAACCACCAATGATCCATCCCCCAGGGTCAGGCTCGACTAACACACCCTTCTGCACACCAGCCAGCTTGGAGATCCCCATCCTACCTGCATTTATTCACAGAAGGCTGCAGAATTTGAATCCAAATTGCTTTCTGCTTCTGACCCCAGCTGCAGGTCCAGCACTGGTTAGGCTGTATGGGTACCCCAGGTGACCACACTGCAATGTCCCCAGGGTACATTGGCCTGCCTGTCTTCAGTTGTCATCCCTCCCTCACCAGCAATGTGCCTCTGAGGTTCCCAAGTACCTGCCTCCCTTCTGTTTTTCCCTGGCTCCTGAGTCCACCAAAGCAGCAGTGGTGTTGTGAGCACACGTGCGCATACATACACACACGGAGGTCTGTGTTTATTCACACACTTGTACAGTGAGGTTGGAGGAACATTTACAAAGGACACCCCTGGGTTGAGAACATCTCCAGGTCCAAGGTGTCATCCAAAGGTGCAGAGCAGCCCCCACTTGGGTTCCTAGGGGTAGGAGAAAGGGGTCCAAGGTAAATTCAGATCTGGGCCCTTAGAAGGTGATACTTTGAGGTGGGGGAGTCTGCCAGAGAGCCTCCTGGGGTCAGGCCTGGGCAGAGTGGCCATGTGGTTGGTTACCATGTTGGGGGCTTGTCCCACACCAGCCTCAACACCTGTCCTATCTGCCAGGCGCAGAGAGCAGACAAGCTGGGGGTGGGGGCGGGGAGAAGAACCATGAGCGGAGCCAGTAAACAAAGAATCGGATATAAAAATACAAATGTGCCGAGGAAGTCCCTTAGAAAGAGGCCAGGATCACGCCAGATGGGGTGAGGATGGGGATGGCCCGGAGGGCTGGGTAGTGGGTGAGAAGCTCATGCAGATGCGCAGCCAAATGTCCCTGGCTGCGCGTTCCGACGACGCCGCAGCCGGGTCTGCAGACCGGACTGGCCGGAGGGGGCAGGGCA